GAAAAATTTCTTTACTGAAAGAGTGGTGAAACATTGGAAGAGGCTGCTCAGGGAAGTGGTTGAGTCACCAGCCCTGGAAGTATTTAAAAGGCGTGTAGATGAGGCGCTTAGGGACATGGTTTAGTGGACATGGTGGTGTTGGGTTGACGGTTGGACTTGATGATCTTAGAGGTCTTTTCCAACCTTAATGACTCTGTGATTCTATGTATTACGGAAGAGCTGGCACATCCTTCCACATTAGCAGGCACACTCCTCACTGCAGCAGGCAGAATAGGGTATTGGATGGACATTGGTTTGGTCTGCTGCTGCCTTTTCTAATGTTTCTCCTGATACATGTCCACAAAAAAAGATTTTAAAAAATCCTACAAAGCCAAAAAGTCCCCATAGACCGCATCACACTGGAATCTGTTAAGAACAGCCCAATAAGCAAAAACCTTTTTAATTAGGATTTACTAAGCCAGAGAGCAAGGAATAATCCAATGTCACTCAGCAGACAGCCTCTGAGAAGGCTGCTGCATCCTCTGGAAGACTGGTGTGCAAATGTTGCTTTTTAAAAGAAGTTTGCAGCTGCTAAAGTATTTCTTCAGCTGCCACATATTACTCTCTGCAAGAAAATCCATTCTTCTGCTCATAAATGGCCAAACATAATAGATCAGGACTTTCAAGATTCTCTGCATGAATAGAACAAACACCTTAAAGTCTCTTTCAAAGAGGTGGAATGCCAAGTTTTGCTGAGAAACTCTGCGATTACACTTGGACTTGGCTGACACATGAAACTTCCACAAGTATAAAGCACTTCAGGCTCCATGCTGACTAAGGCACATTACACTACACAGGGCCAAGGCTGCGCAAAGCTCATGAGGAACAGCATCTCTGCAAGGTCAACACCACCACACTCCCACAAAAGGAATGGAAAGCCTTTCCTTGGTGGATTAATTGCAGGCTCTGAACAGCAGACCTCATTCACGCAGATATTAAAGTGCTGTATCTTTCAGGTTCAAGATTTTCAGCAACTTGCTCAATCTTCCTTTCCCAGATTTTCAGCAACTTGCTCAATCTTCCATTCCCTACCAGGAACCCAGAGAGGAAGGAGGTTAGAGCCCATGTCGGACAGTGACACAACCCAAGCTCAGGCTCCTTCCCCCTCTTCCAGCTTCCTGTGGAAGCGACACAGGGCTACAGATTCACAATCTTTGGCACATTTAGCCACAGTGGTTTTTGTGGGTGGGGTTTTTTTTCGTTAGTTTTGTTTTAAATATTACCAGCTTTACCATCTCCATCTTTCTGTGCCTCAGTTCCCCACCCATATTCCTCTCTCAGGACACAAGGCAGACAGCTTATGCATTTGTTACCCCACTAACGAGGACAGGTCATGCTGGCACCATTGAGGCTTCATGGCCATCACACTTTGCCTCTGAGAAAATAAATGTTAAAGCCTAAAACCCCAAAACCAGCATCACACATCCATCATCCTTTCTCACCCATGTTAGTGCTGTGTTCTGCAGTTCAGATGGTGAGAAGTACTACTCAGCAGGACACTTTTCCTGTGAAAAATGACCCAACAGCTATTTCATTTATGAAAATGTGGCTTGTTTTGGAATATCTGAAACAATCCAGTTTTAATATAAAGAAAAATGAACTGCCAAAGGCTAACTGCATAAAGCTGTGACCAGGCAATAAATCTGTCAACAAAAATACCTCCAAGCAATGAAAATGTGCACTATGGCTCAACTGCAACCTTCCCTGGTCTAATCCACACCCAAAGCAGCTAACAAATTTTCAGACATGCTGTTGTCTCAGGAACAGGAGATCATATGCAGGGCATTTCATACCACGTGTTTCAAATTAAACATCTTTCAACAAGACCCTCAAAGGAACCATCCCAGTGGGTTCCCACATGAACTCTGCAGCCATCAAGCTAATACAGAGCAAAGGAGATCAAGAAGGGTAAAAGGCAAGCTCATGATTTTTGTTTCTCTAAGTGCCTGCAGAAGCAGGTACTCTGCAGCATGGGTGCTTCATGCTTGCTGAGAGATGGCAATAGAAGCTAGAACCAGCACAGTGTACACGTACAGGAATAAATTGTGTCTGAGGTGCTATTAAATTCAAAACTGCCAAGTCTGGAGCTAGCAGGGACTTAAACAAGCAGTGACTTCAGCCTGAAGGTACAATTAACCAAGTGTTACTTTTGGAGCAAATAGAACTGCCAATGTGTTAAAGTCTGGTCACCCACCTCCTGCCCTGCAGAATTTTACCACAGTCAGCAATTTCCTGGCAATACAGGTCAAGTTAAATTTCACTGAAGTTGATAGTTTCAATGCTATCTTTCACTCCAGATATTTCTGAGAAACCATTATGCTCCTCTATAGGTTTATGTAGCTGTAATACTAATTTTAGGCGTGTAAAAACAGAGGACACATCTCCATCCAGAACACAAGGTTCTGCAAGTTTGCTCGGGAATTTAAGCCTGTGCATGGTTTTCAGCAGGGTTACACACATCAGTGATGGCACCCTATGTTACAAAAGCAACAGGCAATACTGTGGAGAGCTCAGAAATAGAGAAGAAAGTTCAGACAGCCTAGAAACAGCCAAAGCAAGGTCCCTCTGCAACAGCTGAAGGGGAACGTCTGCTCAGTGCTAAAAGAACTAGAAGGAAGGAAAGCATTTTTGGCTATTTCTCCTTTCTGCAAGGAAGTAGGATCTTTGGCATATCCTGAAATATGGAGAATAAAAAAAAATTAAAAAAAAAAAAAATCAAAAGATACGTGCCTCCACCTCTGGTTATCCTCACAAGCAAAACAACCTGAAGGCTCCTAGACTATAGGAGGTTTCTTCTTTTTAAGCTAACAACTCTGGTTAAAAAACAAAGGTAGTTTTATATGGAAGGTCTGCCAGGTGAAATGCAGCAAAAAGATATTCCAGCTTATTGCAATGCAACACAATACCGGGGAGCTTTTCACCATATATATGTTAGCACAAATCAAAAGATTCTTCCCAAACTCTCCAAGCCAGGAAGACATTTATAGCAATACCAAATGAAGATTGCTGGCACATGCTTCCCTGCTTTGTGATTTTGACAGTTTGAAAGATGGGGAAATCACAGGGCAGGGTGGGTGGTGAAGCTTAGCCAAGTCTATTTTTTCCAAACAAAAAGAGAATCAAAATGCAGCAGCAGCTCTTCTCAACCTTGCTGGCCTTCCCAGTGGTAGGTTCTTCATAGCCAGTAAGTCTTCAAGTCATGCACCAACCTGAATTTAAACCTATGGGTCATCAGAAGCAGAGGAAAAACATCCTTCCCTCTCCTTACTCTCATGGATGTCCATGGCTGCCAAGGCAGCATCTGTAGAAGTGCTTCAGCCCAGCTCTTGGGTCTCTTGTCTCCTACGTGGCAACAGGGCAGCAGTTGTGCTCTCCTACCTTGTTCTAGGTTCTCTCTTTTTAGTTTCAGAGGAACCTCATTTAAGTTTTGAGTCCTGATGCTAACTGATTAATAGGTCAAAGCAAAATAAGCTTGGTTTGAGCTCCTCAAAAGTTTTCCAGTAGAAATGTACTCTTGTACGAAGAGCCCCTTATTCATGGAAGAGGGACTACACAGGCAGTAGCAGGTTCTTCTGAACCTTTCTGAGCTCAGTATGGAAGGTCTATCTATCTGTCTGCTGCTGATGCTGCTAACAAGGACTCCAAAACTATTCCAAAGGGTTACCTGAATACCATGGGCATCTACAGACAGTCAGCAGAGCAGCTCACCAAGAGAGATTACAACTACCACAAACATCTTATACCAAAGACATGGAAGTGAAAAACCGCATATTTTCCCATAATCTCTCTCATGTTCTGTATTTTACTGGACAGATGGGGTCCGATTACAGGTATTTTCTTTACATCCAGCACTCTTGGATGCCTCCATGCTTATCTCAGTCTTCAATTTTTGCTCAGCAGTACAGCAACAGAATATGGAAAAAACAAAGTTGAAACCTCTCTCTCAACTTGTAACATCTGAACTCGAAACAAAAGCAAAAGGTTATTCTTACTCCTCCAGAAGTTGTGACCTAAAAGCAGCAGCACAGACTGCAGACAGATACAAAACTACAGAACTCATAAGAAACTTCTGGCTACTGATTTTATGCCAGAGATGCTCTGATCCTGTAACAAGGGGAACAGTAAACTAGAAAAGCCAAAATACCAACAAGATCAGCCCACCCTGGTCCAAAGATGAGCTTAGCATAAACTAATTATCTAGGTCAAGAGACTGCCTGGGGGAGGTTGTCCAAGCATGGACAACAAAAACAAGGGTAAGGACAAACCTGTGAAAGCCACACTACAAGTAGTAACTCTTACCGCTCACTTCGATACACTGAAAGGTGTTTTGAAGACTTCGGCTCCAATGTAATCCAATACAAATCTGTCTGATATCATCAGATCACAGCAGAACACCATTACAGGTCAGGAATCAACAGCTGGAACAGGCTGTGTCTGAATGAAATGAGATACAAAACAAAAGGCATGCCAAGAATTAAGTAATTCACACTTGAATTAACATGCACATCCTGCCTACCAAACCCCACCTTTTGCTCCAAATCCAGTTTGCTGCTAGAGTCTCTGCAAGCCTGGAATGAGAAAAGGTATAAATACAGAAGAGCGAGGACCCAGGTGGCCAGCACCAAGGTACAACACTTCTTCAGCCTCATCCTTTAAAGCAAGTTTAGGATCCTCAGAACTAGACATCAGACAAGTCCAACTTGCAGGCTGGAGAGTCCCATTGGCTGGTTGTAGGGGCCTCCCACCCATAAACCCACCCCCACCCTCTCAGCTGCTCTTGCTCCTGTTAGAGACTGTTCAACTACTCATGAAGCAGTGGTAAATCACACCAGTAAACTGCATCAGTTTAGAGCCAGGTACACAAGGTGAACTGGCACCAATCCTGCTTTCCTTGAAAGCTGCAATTTGTAGTAAACCAAGAACTACCCCATAAGCAGCAGAGTCATCCGTACAGAAGGACAGGAACCTCAGAGTGACAGAACGCATGCTCTGGCATGATAACTGTCAACTACTAGGAAGTGTATTTGCTTCTTAAAATCATCCAGAAACCTGAGAGTTTCCAATGGAGATCAAAGCAAACCCCAGAGCTATCTTTTAAGTGACTGAATGAGTCAGAGGACCAGCAGTCTCCTCTTTTCCTCAGGTTCCCTCTCTATTCTGGGGCAGTTTAATGGAGAACCAGCATCTCCTCAGGACTTGAGGGAGAAGGGTCCTTTGTGGAAGGCTGTGGCTGTCTCAGTAAGAAGCTGGAAGAGCAACTTCCCAAGCTGTTTCTGATAGATCTAATGCCAATGCTCACTTCCCAAAGGCCTAAAACTAAAGAGGCAGAGAAAGTGAGTTCCCCTAGCCTTAAAGCATGGTTGGGCACAAGGTGCCCTGGCAAGGCAATATGAAGGAAGATTGCAACTAATGCCAGGTTTTCACCTTCTTCATTAACAACCAGTGGGCCACCAACTTTCAAACATAAACAAGAAAAGGAAAGAACATTTCCACTGGATGTTGGGCAACAACCCTCAGGTCTTCCAGCTCTCCTCTGTAATTCCAAAGTTAACCTTTTTTTTTTTTTTTTAACAAACTTTGAAGCACCTCTTTAAAAGAGGTACTTTTGCCTTTCACACAGAAATTTGTCTTTAGGCTTATAAGGCAAGAGCCAACAGAGCAAATCTCAATCCAGCAAGGATTAAGTCTTACAAAACCTGTCACGGTACTAAAAAAAGGTGCATTTGCTTTTAATAGAGAAAAGACTGGGCATGCTCCACTTTATGGAAGAATCAGCTCCAACCAGGTCACTGTGACAGTACCTCTCCGAGACCAGAAGCTGCGACCGAGTTGCGTGTCTCATTATCTAGCATGGTTAGCCTGCACCTAAAGCTAGCAATAAGCTTTAGTTATCATAAACGAAACATTTGCACAACCTGTTCTTGGCTACAGAACATTTATGTATTTAGCAAAAGCATGATATAACCTGAAAACACAGCTCTAAGCCTGACGACATTACATCAGACAACCTT